CGCACACGCGCACACACACATACACACACGTGCGCGCGCCCGCGCGCATCATCCAGCCGGTGTTGGCCAACCCCCCGTGGGTGTACGCGTTTATGTGCGCCCGAGACACGGTCCCGGTGTCCACGCGCGCGAGAATGCATGGGCAAGTATGACATAACTCACGGTAAAGTTCCAGGCCACTTGTGCCGCGTAAATTATTAAGCATGCGTCGCCCCTTTGCCGTTCGAGAAACGGGACGACGCGACGTTGGACGGAGGTTGGCCACATCGGGAGAACGTAAAGGTCAGAGGGACGTCCCTGGGAACGGTGGAAGGGAGGAGCGGGGTACGGCGGCGGAGAGGATGGTGACAAGGGACGCGCGAGGTCACCGGAGGTTCCGTTCCTTCCTCCCTTCACCTGTTTCACTCCTTTGCCGCCGCCGCGCCGTGCGAGATGGAGCACCGTTGTAATACCGCGTAATGCAATGCAATGCGATCTAAGTGAACTTTGGCCGGGTCGAGCGCATGCATATTAGCCTCATCGCCAAGTAGCGTTACCACACAGCCCACCCCTTGCGCGCTATTCCTTCGCGCCCTTTCCGTTCTTCCGTAAGCCCGTTTTCTGTGTTCTCTCTCTCTCTCTCTCTCTCTCTCTCTCTCGCAATTTGCGAAGCTCTCATTTCATTATATCATAAAGGTATCGCACCAACTACCATTCCGCAATTTCTTTACTGTGCCGGTTGTGGCTGCAGCTCACTGCAGGACGAAGTCGTCGTCATGTCTACCTAGCGCGTCTCTCTTTATTAGATCCGTTGTCTCTGCATCAAGTGACTCCTGCGAAATGCAATAACATCCGTCGAATCGATATTTCTTTCACGAAGGCGGTAGGTATATCGCATTTATCCTGAGAAACACAGCGATACAAGAGTCGCAACCTCCTTCGAGAGGATGCTGAAAATTTGATTCTATGAGATACTGATAGTGGAAGATGGTATAAGACTTGCAACAATTTCGCATTCAGTGGTAGCTCTCTTCAAACCGTTCAAAATTTAAAAAAAACGCGTAGTAGAGCCGGTCATAGATACGTTTAAAGGGAGCGACACTATATAATATCAACGGATATATGAAAAGTATTTCACGTTAATTCTTTTAGTTAATTAGGCCCAAATATTTATTCTTTATGAGTAAAATTGTATATTGACTTATATTTTAGAACAAAAAAGAAACTAGAAGATAAAGGCTAATAAAACGAGCAAATAAAAACGTAAGATTTTTATATATAATTATTATTCTTTATAGCCAAATATAAAATCTTACACGTAGAAATTGAATATAATTTTTTAAATTAGTTTAACAAAATCTACTATCCTATTTGTATATAGGATATCGCGTATGCTCTCGTATGAAATAAACGTGAATAATACAAATTACGGTAAATCTAACAGAGTTTTCGATAAATAAAGGAAATAAAGAACGCCGCGGCGGATTCTGGTAAACACGAAGAGATTTCTGTGTTCGACGTTGTGTGAAAATACAAAAAATAGGGACTGGATTAGCCGTACTTATCCTACCCTCACGTTTACCAGCTATTATGTAAAAGCATTATTCTCCTTTGTCATTCGTAAAGCCCTGATCAAGATGTCGATCATGTGTTTCTCGAATTTTCGCTATTATTTCACAAACGTAGATTTATTTTTAGCGAAAAATAATTTTCCTGAAAATTACATTAATTAGTGAAAGAGAATTATTGAACAACGAGATAAATTTATATATATATCTTAATAATAATTCGATTATATTATTTGTAAATATACAAACTGTAAAATAATATTCCAAAACAATTGCGGACCAGAGTTCGTGAGCGAAGCGCTTAAACGGGCAGGTTTCTTGAGATGCTTTTATGGTAACGTTAGCGAGACTTTTAACGAAATTTGAGAGTCCATCAAGCTGGTGGAAAACGCACAATGGATGTTGGTACAGGATGTAGAAAATTATATTGCCGTCCATGCTGTTCCTCATTTTCGTCATCGTTCTTGAAAAATGCAGACTTACCCTCGCCGTTACAGTTACATTAGCCGCAAAGAGGTTTCAAGTTTATAAGTCCACAGCATGAAAGTTCACTCTCAAAAGATATTCTATGAAACAAATAAATTATTAAAAATAATTAATAAAAAACATATAGTATGAAGTTGCAAATTTTTAATTCTTAACTAAAATGGTGATTTAAAAAATGTTCTCTTAAATCTTCTCCTATTTCTTGTAATTCATTTTTTAATCCTTCCAACAGTTAATAAATTATACTTTAATACTTATTCATTAAAAAAATGAAAATATGTATAAATAAATATATAAAGATTCTTATAAAAAATACGAATTACGAATATTAACAAAATAGTAAAAGGGAATTTCAAATAATTTTAATTCATAATTGAAAATAAAAGTTTCTGTCAGTTCCTCTCAATCTATCTGCAGCGAGACGCAAGGTTTCTTAATTTTAAGGGTTGCAGAAAGCTGTACACTAATAATATCTCACGAATGACCATCCTTCGTCCTCCATAATTTCACTCACAAGGGCCCTAATTTGTTTTGTCACGCAGTGACAGTGGAAGCAGACATCTCGCGGCGCCTTTATCGCGCCGTAATCGATAAAGCGAGAAAAAAGGACGCAGGAACATTCTCGCCTTCCAGGAACCCACCATATGACGTAGTGCCGGTGGCGTGGACCTCCCGTCAAGAATTCTCTATCTCTATGTAAAAAGAAGGTGGGAAAACCAAGAGAAATTGTTGCGACTCTCTCTCTCTCTCTCTCTATCTGTCTTTCTTTTTCACGTAGATGCAAAGTAAAAGACTGATTAATTAAAAAAATATTGTGCAACTATAATTATTTTCACTTTTTTATCTTAATGTTAATTGTGTTTGAGAACAAAATTGGATCGTTATTTATACCGTTTGACGATCAAGCGGAATAAAACATAGAAGCGCATAAGATTAAATTGAAGTTATAAAATGCAACGATTTAATGTGTAAAACTGTAGTACTACGCATTTATCTGTAGTTTGATATTAAGAGGAATAAAAGAGAGAACATAAAAGAGAGAGAGAGAGAGAGAGAGAGCACAAAATTAAATTAAAGATATAATGCAATGATATTTTACGTATAAAACTGCAGTACTATATATCATAAGCATTTTATTGCAACGATTAAAGCGAAAACGCGCGAACGACACGCTGTCGTTTGTTCTTTTCATTAATTCATAGAATTCTAAAACATGCATTCTACGACTCTTATCAAGATCGTCCATAGATCCTTTTAATCGGTGTCTTCTCTGAAAAACTTGTCCCGCCGGGAAGAAGCGTCATTGCCGAATGATTTGTATAAATGAACGGTGACAAGAGGTGACAATTATTCGAATGTAGGGGGTAGACCCTCTTCCTCTCTTGCGTTGACTCGGAACTTCTCTCTCTCTCTCTCTCTCTCTCTCTCTCTCTCTCTCTCTCTCCCCCCTCATTTCCATCCTTCTCGCGCGTTGTTATCGTTTCATTCTCTTTCCTTATCTCTCACGCCATCACCCACGTACCATACGTGCAACTCGTTATATCCTCTCGCTCTAATTAATGAGCGACCTGTATGCACTCGCCGGTAAGAGCGAGATGAAAAAAATGTGCGAGACAAAGAAGGAAAAAGGTGCAGAAAGAAGCGATTTATTGCTTACAATTAAACAAATATAAATATTATTGAGCAGTATCATATATTGTGCCCAAATAAGTTTTTGTAAAAATAAATAACAAAATAACGAGATAATAAGAGATAAGAAAAAAAGAAGGTAAACAATTGATAAGAGAAGAAATGTAATTTCTCCTGGAAAAATTATACATTCTTTTATAATTTGGTAGTTTTATAATGTGAAACAATATATGTATACAGCAGTTTTTTGGGGGGAAAAAAAAAGAAAAAAGAATGACAAGAAGAAAAGGCAAAAAAACGGAGGTTAAAGGACGAGAGAAGACCGCGAGAGAGCGGAACAAAGAGAGGCGACAGGAGATTGGAGACGAGACGAAGCGAGCAGAATGAGAGAGAGGGAGGGAGAGAGAGAGAGAGAGAGAGAGAGAGAGAGAAGGAGGGTGGGAGGGAGGAAGAGGGAGAGAGCCGCCATGAATACCGGTTATACCGGCTTCGAATCTCGAGATTGTTGCAGATCAGAGGCATTGGATATGATAGTACGACGGGGGATAGTCTAAATTTAACTGTCAGACTGCTTAAGTGCTCGCTTAACTCGCCCTTTTCACCGTTATCCACCTCGCACGCTTCTGCTCAACTCTCCGCGAGAGACTGGAGCCTGCGGCGCGAGGAGTGTCCCTTTTGTTGTCGGTTTCCTTGCTTGTTGCCCTTGTTGGTTACAATAGTACTATACAGAGTCTGAAACGGGACGCATCTCGGTACAGTTTTCGTATCACGCTTTGAGATTTTAACTACCGAAATCATCGAATAACAAAAAAAAAATCACATACTGACAAATGCGGAATATTATTACGGAATTTATGAAGGCCGTAATAATAATAATCGTTGAAGTGATATATGTTACGTCTATATGATGTATATTATTTATATAGCAAAAAGAATATTACCAAACTTAAATCGTTATG